ATAGGATCAAATCGATCTCGCAGATTGAAAGATCTTCGCCTCCGCCCTGGGCCAGGATAGGCCTTCTGACCGCAGGGCACAATTTGATTTATTCAAAAGGCAGGAACAGAGAAGGAGTTTAATGTTGGCCTTTGGCTGTAGGCCGTACTCGTCCCTTCATCCAGCAGGACAAATATTCTTATCTGCATTTTCACCACGGATTTAGGCTGGCCCGCTTGCGAGCGACAAGGCAGGGAACAGGAGTCCCGAATTGTTGTGATCCAGACTCTTCTAGCATTGATGATGTTACCTAGCTGGGTCAGGAAACATCTACAAGAAAACAACCAAGCTCAGAGAGCACCAAGGAGCCCACAGTCCTCTTCTCCTGTCCACAAACTCCATTTCCTTCTAGCACTGATGATGTTACCTAGTTGGGTCATGAAACATCTGCAAGAAAACAACCAAGCTCAAGAGACCCCACATTCCGCTTCCTCCTCCTCCTCTGCACTCTCTTCTAGCACTGATGATGTTATCTAGTTGGGTCATGAAACATCTGCAAGAAAACAACCAAGCTCAGAGAGCACCAAGGAGCCCACAGTCCTCCTTCTCCTATTCCACAAACTCCATTTCCTTCTAGCACTGATGATGTTACCTAGTTGGGTCAGGAAATGTCTGCAAGAAAACAATCAAATTCAGAGAGCACCGCACAGGGACCCCATAGTTGTTTCTCCTCCCTCCTCCTCCTTTCTGCAAACTCCACTCTCTCTTTTAGCACTGATGATGTTACCTAGTTGGGTCAATAAATGTCTGCAAGAAAACCACCAAGCTCAGAGACCCCACATTCCGCTTCCTCCTCCTCCTCCTCCTCCTCTGCACTCTCTTCTAGCACTGATGATGTTATCTAGTTGGGTCATGAAACATCTGCAAGAAAACAACCAAGCTCAGAGAGCAGCAAGGACCCCATAGTCCTCCCCCCTCCTCCTCCTCAACTCTGCAAACCCTTCTCCCTTCTAGCACTGATGACCTGCCATTGCGATGATGTAATGGAGGAGATACAGGAGGAAGGTGGGGGGAGGAGGAGATGTTGAGCTGAAGTAGGAGCTTCAATGCTTATCTGGAGGCACAAGGCTGATCTGCTGTGAAGGCCGAGTCTTTGGGAAGGGGGGGCTGGTGCTACCCTGATAAGGGCGTTGCCTTTTTGCTGCTTAGGAAAGGGGGATAGAGACAGGCTTACAAAATTCATAACAGGCTCCCACAGTTGCGAAAGAGAGAGAGAGAGAAAAGAAAGGAAAAGAAAGGAAAGAAAGATGGGAGGGAAAGAAAGAAAGAGGAAAGGAAAGAAACAAAGAAAGAAAGAAAGGAAAGGAAAGAAAAAGAAAGGAAGGGAGGAAGGAAGGAAGGAGAGAAAGAGGGAGGGAGGGAGGAGAAGGAATCGCTTCCTGAGCAAACGGATTCTCCCTCCTAGGAAAGAACTGCCTTTAAAATTTAAACCTTTTGCATACAAATACATTAGGGAAAATGCATCTTTGAACCCACATCCCAAAGACCTCCTCAGTAGCTGTAACCCTTTGAGATGAGAAAGGAAGTCCAGGAAAGCGAGAAAAAGGATGTGGGGAGGAAAGGGCCCTCATTCGGAAGAGCTTAAAAAAAAAAGAACCCCGCAGTTGATACATGAGCCGTGTGGGTCGGCAGGCAGCTTTTTAAAAGACTTGTTTTAATTGCATTCGGACTTTATTTGGGGATGGAGAAGATTTGAGGATGCCACCCACCCCCCCATTAAGTTGGCTTTCCCAGTCCAGCTCTATTCTCGGGAAGAAACCATCCGAAATATTAACACCCATCCTTTCCTAAACACTGTATTTCAGTCATCATTATGCAAAAGGTCTTAAACAGGTGATAACAAAGAGGTGGAGCAAATGGCATATTATCCACCTGATGGGCTTTTGCATTAAAGCAGGGCGGGGGGCCCCCTCCTTGAAAGATTCCTGAAAATTTCATGGTACGAGTTTGTATTTCCGCATTGGGCCGCATTCCTTCCCTAATGCAAACCATTTGCACAAATGTTCCCCATCCTCTCCGCATCCGTAAGCTAATCTTCGCACGAGGCCCGGCAATAAATCCACTGTATATATATTTGTTGTTAGTCGGGAAGTCGAAATCGTGTCCGACCCATCGCGACTCCATGGACAACGTTCCTTCAGGCCTTCCTGTCCTCTACCATCCTCTGGAGTCCATTTAAACTCACGCGGACTGCTTCACTGACTCCATCCAGCCACCTCGTTCTCTGCTATCTCCTTCTTCTTTTGCCTTCAATCGTTCCCAGCATGAGGCTCTTCTCCAGGGAGTCCTTCCTTCTCATCAGGTGGCCAAAATATTTTGAGTTTCCTCTTCAGGATCTGGCCTTCTAAAGAGCAGTCAGGGTTGATCTCCTCTAGGACTGACTGGTTGGATCGCCTTGCAGTCCAAGGGACTCGCAGGAGTCTTCTCCGGCACCAGAGGCCTCAATTCTTTGGCGCTCACTCAGCCTTCCTTTGTTGTTGTTGTTAGTTGCGAGGTCGTGTCCGACCCATCGCGACCCCGTGGACAACGTTCCTCCAGGCCTTCCTGTCCTCTACCATCCTCTGCAGTCCATTTAATCTCACGCCGACTGCTTCAGTGCCTCCATCCAGCCACCTCCTTCTCTGTTGTCCCCTTCTTCTTTCACCTTCAATCGTTCCCAGCATCAGGCTCTTCTCCAGGGAGTCCTTCCTAATATATTAAAATATCAACCAATGGCTACTTGTGATCATGTTCCGTTTCTTTGCACCATCTTGAAGCGAATGAGAACAAACTTCTTCCCCATCTTTAAGAGGCTCCGTTTGCCTTCTGAATAGGGGAAGGGAGCTGTTTAATTTCATCCAGCCGGCACTGGCGCTTAATTATTCCAATATGGGGCTGGCCCAGGCCCAGTTTTGTACGGCGCGGAGAATACGCAGCGGATCCACGATCGCCACGTGACGAGTGTTTAATTCGAGCCAGGGAACGAATTAAAGGCTGTTTCCGAAACGGCATCTTAAGGCTTGGAGAACCGAGTAACGTTCAGCCTTGACGTGAGCTTGTATGAAAGGAAGGTTGTGGGGGAATTAGAGCATCTTTTTGCAATGGAGCGAAGCAGCCAAACAGAATTAGGGCCCTAGTACCAGAGAAGAAGGAAGCCAAGTTGTAGAAAATCCCTGCAAATGACAAAAAATCGAGACAGTAATGTTTGCACAAGGCTGGCTCCTCCTTTACACCGAGCGAGGCTCACGACGGCCTGAGAGAGGGACGAAAAGCCTTTGCATTGCCTGGAAGTGGTCAGTTTTGCTGGCCCTTGATAGTTTCATCAGAGGAACGCCAAGTTCTACGGTAGAATTTGGGGGGAAGCGATGCTCTTCCCCTTCGTGGCTGGCTAGCAATGCCGGCTGGGGAATTCTGGGAGTGGAAGTCAAAGCTGCCACGTTTCGGAAAGGCGGATACTAAAAGCTTCAAGGATTCTCTTGCAAGATTGCTCTGGGTTGGAGAGCTACCTGGTTTTGACCCTTGCCAGCAAATCGTTCAGTGTTAAGAGGGAAGGGGATGAGGAAAAGGGACCTTAAGAGAGCATATCATTGGGCCTCCTGTCCGGGTCTAGTAGCTGGCACAGATCAGGGCCCTTATGTCGGGGAAGCATCAGTGGGCTCTACTGGCCCATCAAAACATTGAACTAATCGGAAGGGAGGAGATGGAGGAAGGAGGAGGAAAAAGGAGGAAGAAGAGGAAGGAGGAGGAGGAGTCCTTACAAGATCATCTCCTTCCTCCTCCTGCCCAGGTTCAGTAGCTGCACAGATCGGCCACCTTATGCAGGCGGACATGGGGGGGCATTGAGCATAAGTGGGAGGAAGGGAAGAAGAAGGGACCTTAAGAGACCATCTCCTCTGTCCTCCTGCCTAGGTTCAGTAGCTGGCACAGATCGGCCACCTTATGTGGGTGGGCTGGTGGAGGGCATTGATCATAAAAGGGAGGAGGGGAAGAGGAAGGGACCTTAAGAGACCATCTCTTAAGGAAAAAGGAGGAAGAAGAGGAAGGAGGAGGAGGAGACTTACAAGATCATCTCCTTCCTCCTCCTGCCCAGGTTCAGTAGCTGGCATAGATTGGCCACCTTATGCAGGCGGGCGTGAAGGGGAGGCATTGAGCATAAGTGGGAGGAGGGAAGAAGAAGAGAGGGACCTTAAGAGACCATCTCCGTCCTCCTGCCCAGGTTCAGTAGCTGGCACAGATTGGCCACCTTATGCAGGCGGGCGTGAAGGGGAGGCATTGAGCATAAGTGGGAGGAGGGGAAGAAGAAGAAGGGACCTTAAGAGACCATCTCCATCCTCCTGCCCAGGTTTAGTAGCTGGCACAGATCAGCCACCTTATACGGGCGGGCATAGAGGGGCATTGAGCATAAGAGGGACCTTAAGAGACCATCTCCTCCGTCCTCTTGCCCAGGTTCAGTAGCTGGCACAGATTGGCCACTTTATGCAGGCGGACATGGGGGGGCATTGAGCATAAGAGGGAGGAGGGGAAGAAGAGGAAGAAGGGACCTTAAGAGACCATCTCCTCCGTCCTCCTGCCCAGGTCCAGCAAGGCATTCGGGCACCCGTGCCAAGAGAGGACCAAAGCGGGGAGCCCAGGCGGGGCAGACGATCGGGGGGCGCCCGGAGCCCTCCCTCCTTCCCTGCCGCCGCTGGGCTGAGCCAGGCTGGCTGCTGCTCCTCCTCCTCCTCCTCCTCCTGCCGCTTCCCGGGCGGTGCCAGGCGGCGGGGGCGGCGCGTCGGCCGAGGCGGAGCAGGCGAGGCTCCGGGCGAACAAAGAGCGCCGGCCGGCCGGGGCGGAGGGGCGCTCGGGCCATGCGGGGCGGCGGCCGGAGCGCAGCCGGGCGCATGGCCGGAGCAGCAGCCGGAGGAAGCGCAGAGAGCAGCGGCGGCGGCGGGCGGGCTTCGTGAAGCGGCGCTGCCAGCTGCGGGCGAAGGGGCGCCGCTCTGCCCAGCCGGGAGGGGATGGCGGTGGCGGCGGCGGCGGGGGTGAGCTACTCGCCGCCCTGGTGGGTCAGCCTGCTGCATCGCCTGCCGCACTTCAGCCTGAGCTGGGAGGCCGCACCCGACGAGTTCCGGCCTGAGGACACCCAGTACCAGCAGGTCAGCCCGGCGGGGTCGCGACTCCCCTCCCCAGGCCCATCCTCCCCAGCTCACCTGGACACCCATCCTCCCCAGCTGGCCTGGACACCCATCCTCCCCAATTGAGCGTGAGACCCATCCTCCCCAGCTGATCTGGACACCCATCCTCCCCAGTTGACCTGGACACCCATCATCCCCAGCTGGCCTGGACACCCATCATCCCCAGCTGACCGAGAGACCCATCCTCCCCAGCTGACCTGGACACCCATCCTCCCCAGCTGATCTGGACACCCATCATCCCCAGCTGACCGAGAGACCCATCCACCCCAGTTGAGCGGGAGACCCATCCTCCCCAGCTGTGCGGGCAGACCCATCCTCCCCAGCCAGCCTCCTTTGCAGCTGCCAGCTCAGCCGGATGCCTTTCGGCTCCCTCTCCCCCCCCCCCCCGCTTTTGGTCCGTGGCTGGGAGCGATGAGGGCTTTCGGGGAAGTGGGGAGGGGGTCTTCCTTCTTTGGGGGTGGGGGGGCGAAGCCTTCGCCGTCTTGCGTGGTTCGAGCTGCCCGGTGTTACGTGCGGAGCCCCGTTTCTCCCTCCCCCCCCGCCTTTCCTTTCCCTCCCCCAAACTTTTCTCCCGGCCCCCGCGGATCTTTCCCAAGCTGCTTTTGGTGAGGAGGGGGCCCCGAGAAGCAGCTCGGTCGGGGGGAGGGCTTCCCCCCCCCCACAAGCCTTTCTTGATCTGCGGCTTTCCCTTTCATCTCTGCCCGGGAGGCCCCCCTCCCCCTCCCAAGTGCTGCTTTAACCTCGATTCCTGGCTAGTCTTTCCCTAGAAAGGGGGGATGGGGGAGGAAACTGGAGGGCTTTCTAAATTCCGAAAGCCACCCCTCCCCCTCCCCCCTTCTAGAAATAGCGGCTGATGATGACCCCTCCCCAATGCTGGTTTGTTGCATCCTGGTTTTTTTTCCCCCTCCTTTGCCTCCCTCCCCTAGTTCCAAGGTTGAATTGGATCTTCGCCAATCCCTGTGTGTGAATTCCCCCCCCCCCTTAGGTCTGCTTCCCGAGAAGAACCTTCTTCCTGTAGCGTTCCCAAGACCCCCGAGGCCTTCAAGAGAGAGGAAGGAGGGGGGGTTGCCTGGCCTGAGGAGGGGGAGCTGGTGGGGGGGGAGAGTTTCTGAGAGCTGCCATTGTTAAGTCTGCCCGGAGGGAACCTGAGGTTCTGTTGTTGTTTTGGAGAGATAAACAGACGGTCAGATAAAGATAGATAGAGAGATCGGGAGGGAGGGAGGGAGGAAGGAAGGAAATATAGATAGAAAGAGGGGAGAGAGAGAAAAGGAAGAAATAAAGAGAAAGAAGGAAGAGGGAGAAAGAGAAGGAAGGAAATATAGATAGAAAGGGAGAGAGAAAGGAAAGAAAGAAAGAAAGAAAGGAAAGAAGAAGAGGAGAAAGAGAGAAGGAAGAAAATATAGATAGAAAGAGGGAGAAAGAAAGGAAAGAAAGAAAGGGAAAGAGGAAGAGGGAGAAAGAGAAGGAAATATAGATAGAAAGAGGGAGAGAGAAAGAGAAAGAGAAAGAAAGAAAGGGAAGAAGGAAGAGGGAGAAAGAGAAGGAAGAAATATAGATAGAAAGAGGGAGAAAGAAAGGAAAGAAAGAAAGGGAAAGAAGGAAGAAGGGAGAAAGAGAAGGAAGGAAATATAGATAGAAAGAGGGAGAGAGAGAAAGAAAAGGAAGAAAGAAAGGGAAAGAAGAGGGAGAAAGGGAAGGAAGGAAATATAGATAGAAAGAGGGAGAGAGAAAGAAAAGAAAGAAAGGGAAAGAAGGAAGAGGGAGAAAGAGAAGGAAGGAGCTATAGATAGAGGGAGAAAGAAAAAAGGAGGGAAGAGAAAGAAGGAAGAGGGAGAAAGAGAGAAGGAAGGAAATATAAATAGAGAAAGAGAGGGAGGGAGAGAAAAAGGGAAGGAAGGGAGAGAAAGAAATAGAGGAAGGAAACAGAGATGGAAAGAGGAAGGAAGAAAGGAAATAGATAGAAATAGAGGAAGGAGAGAGAGAGTTCCTGCCTGGTGAACCCTATTCCGGGCCTCCCTTTCCGCCTTGCTTCCTCTCCCCAGGCCTCTTTGGCTGCCTCCCCAGCAGAGTCTGCAGCAAGTGGCCGGTGTGGGGACACGTGCACTGAGTTGGGGGTGCAAATGACGTCATGATGGACGTCTGAGGCCGGCAGGCAAATCAGCCAAGGGGGCAGCGGCAGCGACACCACCACCACCACCACCATCATCATCGCTGCATATACCTGCCGGCCTCCCCCTCTCCCCTCCCCCAGCCAGGCTCCCCCCCCCCACACACCCCCCAACGGAGAAGCGGCTGGAGGGCTTCCCCCCTGCCGGGCCCCCCAAAAGCCAGCCGGGGGCTCAAAGGGGGTGGCCCCACCCCCCCCCCCCCCATCCTGATGCTGGAATTTGGTGCCCTAAAAATGGCCGGAAGGATCCATTCTCCCCACATTCTCCCAGAAGCAATGCAGAGTTTGGAGGTTTAAAAAAAGGCAGGAGAGGGTGGGAAGGGGGGGGGCTTCCCTTTGTGCTTCGCCTCTTCCTTGGCTCCCGCTTCATTCATGATGGGGAACCGTTTTTATTTCATTTATTAGAGTCCAGTATCCCCCACGATCTCTTTCATCCTTCCGATTTGCTTTCCTCAATCGTCTGCTTGGTTCAGTGCAGAGGGGTAGAGATCCCCCCCACTTATCTCCCTCAAATGAAAAGCCCCCAAAAGGGGAGGCAGCTGTAGGGTAGATGTCCTACAACCCCCCCCTTCCCCCTTTGGGAATAAAACACCTTTCCTTTCTAAGGCTGCCACTTCTGGCTTCTTATCGTCTTTATTTTAATCATGTTGGTGGGCTTCTGGATGAACGGCGTTGGCTTAAAGCCCCCCCCCCACTCCCCACCATGTTGTTTCGAAAATTCCCTTTCTAGGTTTCCCTCTCTTAATGAAGGTTTGTCTGTTTTTACAGCTTTGGCAAACATATCTGTAGAGGCTTTGAAGGACTTGCAAAGCATCTGTAAATCATGAAGGTTAAGAGTTATTGCTTGCCGATGTGAAGGGCTAAATAAATTACATCATCCTGTTCCTCCTGCAGCCGGAGTCACTTCCTTCTTTCTCTGACTGCAAATGCAAACTCTGATTTCTAGTCACTTTTCCCTTCCTTCCTCCCTCCCTCCCTCCCTCTTCTTCCTTCCTTCCTTCCCTCCTCGCTCCTTCCTTCCCTGCCTGCGTTCCTTCCTTCCTCCCTTTCTCCCTCCCTATTCTTTTTCTTCCCTCCTTCCCCCCTTTCTCCCTCCCTCTTCTTTTTCCTCCCTCCGTTCTCCTTCCTTCCCTCCTTTCTCCCTTTCTCCCTCCCTTCCCTCCTTTCTCCCTCCCTCTTCTCTTTTTCCTTCCCTCCTTCCTCCCTTTCTCCCACCCTATTCTTTTTCCTTCCTTCCTCCCTCCCTTTCTCCCTCCCTATACTTTTTCCTCCCTCCATTCTTCCTTCCTTCCCTCCTTTCTCCCTTTCTCCCTCCCTTCCCTCCTTTCTCCCTCCCTCTTCTCTTTTTCCTTCCTTCCTTCCCTCCTTCCTCCCTTTCTCCCACCCTATTCTTTTTCCTTCCTTCCTCCCTCCCTGCCTGCCTGCCTTCCTTCCTTCTTCCTTCCTTCCTCCTTTCTCCCTCCCTATTCTTTTTCCTCCCTCCCTCCCTGCCTGCCTGCCTGCCTTCTTTTTCCTTCCTTTCCTCCTTCCTCCCTCCCTTTCTCTTTTTCCTTCCTTCCTTCTCCTTCTTCCTTCCTTCCTTCCTTCCTTCCTTCCTTCCTTCCTTCCTTCCTCCCTCCCTCCCTCCCTCCCTCCCTCCCTCCCTTCCTTCTTCCTTCCTTCCCTCCTTCCTCCCTCCCTCCCTCCCTCCCTCCCTTCCTTCCTTCCCTCCTTCCTTTCTCCCTCCCTATTTTTTCCCCCTTCCTCCCTCTCTCCCTCCCATGTTCAGCAATGATATACTAATTCTTGACTTATGACCATAAACCCCCTCGGGGTAATTGCATGCCTTTTGCTATGTTGTATTTGGGTCTCTTTGTTCCAGTTGTGTGTCCTGCCACGCTCGGGGCACGAGACAATAGACAGCCCCTTTTAGCCAAGAGGTCACTGAGAATGCGGGCAAACCCTCTCTGAATAGGAGAGTTAATCATAACCACTTTCTCTTTTATTAACCCACCCTTGTGACTACACGCCGGAGAGGTTAAAGTACACATGGGCTGCCGTCTGTATGTGTCAGCACAGGAGACCTGGTTTCTTTATCTTTGGGGGTAGCAATAGAGGAGAATATTTGTAACTCAGGGTTGAAATGAGGGGTCCTTGCTTGGTGCTCTCTGAGCTTGGTTGTTTCGTTGCAGATGTTTCATGGACCCAACTAGGGAACATCATCAGTGCTAGAAGGGAGTGGGGTTTGCAAGGAGGAAGAGGAGGAGGACTGTGTAAGCCTTGGTGTTCTCCGAGCTTGGTTGTTTTCTTGCAGACTTTGCACGACCCATCTAGGTAACACCATCAGTGCTAGAAGGGAGTGGGGTTTGCAGGGAGGAGGAGAAGGAGGAGGAGGAAGAGGAAGAGGAGGAGGAAGAGGAGGAGGAGGACTGTGTGGTCCTTGGTGGTCTCTGAGCTTGGTTCTTTTCTTGCAGACCTTGCATGACCCACCCGGGTGACAACATCAGTGCTAGAAGAGAGAGGAGTTTGCTCTCTGCTTACATGTACAATCCCATTCTAGCATTGATAAGGTTACTTAAATGGGTCTGCAAGAAAACCACCAAGCTCAGAGACCACCAAGAACCTCTCTTTAGGGTAAGTTAGGATACTCCTGAGTTTGGACGTATTGTCAGGACTCTTTGGTAGAAATGTGGGATGCAAATGAAAGAAAACCAACCAGGATGTTATTTTGAAAAAGCCCAGGGGGGCGTGTTTTTTTTTTTTTTATTTTGTCTGCTTTGCTTCCCTCTTGAGTTTCTTTTCCTAGTCCTGGGGA